CCACCAGCTCTGATTCTCGTCACATAGAAAGCGGCCACTCTGAAATGTTGGGATCGATACCTAGCCCTCAACTCCGAAAACTCCACCTCCAATCACAAGGACAGAAGTGCAAACAGCAGCCGAAACATGAGAATTGACAAGGTAGACTTCTTCACGTTTGATTTCAATGGAAGCCGTATCGGACAGGCAAGCCCTAAAGCTCTGTCCACTAACGCAGACCCGTGATTAATAAACCCCCTCCCCTTAATAGGGATTATACTATAATCATTACAATTGGGATCCTAATTTAATATTAAGGTCCTTAAAAAATTAATCATGGGTCTGCACTCATCACTATGCATCGACCCCCCCCCAGTTTCGACAAATAGGGCGCCCAATAGACACCAACTTACCAAAATCTTTATTATAGGAATCAATGAATGAGGCCCCCGCCTGCATCATGTAGACTTGGTCTCTGTGTGCTGGGCATGCTGGGAGGAGTGTGGGTGCTAGTATCCTTGGCGGGCATTTGTTGCTTCGAAGGTGAGTGCTGAGGTTCAGGGCTTTGCAGAAACAATAACTTCTGGGGTATGGCTTGAAGGTGCGGGGATGGTCAAAAGAGAAAAGTTGTGTTGATAGCTTTCGCTATCGATTTATGTAAGCTTCTCAATAAATGCCGGCCTACGCAGTTTTGCCACCAAACCGGATATCGGCATCTTGCGTCGGTGTGCCAAAGCATTGCAAACCCTAAACCTGCTAAACCTTAACCCCCAAAACCCGAAGCCCTTCACTTATTCCCGGGAAGTTCTCAGAGCTAAGGCCCCCGGTGCTGAATCCTTGCAAACAAGCCTATAGGGACTCCAGTAAGGACTCCAGAAAGGTCCCGGAATTCAAAAAAATCCCCGTGTAACCCCCTATATCAGACTCAACCTTCCCCAGAACCCTTATAGAAAACGTGATTTCCGCTGGGATGATAGAGAACAGAAAGTTGAAATCATGTTCAAGGTACTTCTAGCAAAGCCCTTCCGCTGAGTACCCTAAACCCTAAACCCTAATCCCCCCCCCCCCTGCACAACGCCGCCTCGTGCAGGTCTTGCACGGGTAACGCAGTGGTCATGGGATCCTCCACCTTTCAGGGTTGAGGCTTCAAGGTTTGTAGTCCCCCTTAGGTATATGATTGGGGTTAAATAGGGATAATGGAAAAGAAAATGGGAACTCATATGTTATAATAAGGTATATTTTGGGGGGATAGTCCCCCTTAAGTAGATAGAATATGGCTTTCGGTATAATAAGATCCCCATAAAACTGATATTCTATCTCCTTAAGGGGGACTATAAGGTGTAGGGTGTTTTGCACAGCTCCTAGGGTTTTGGGTTTGAGATGAGGATCAGGGCTGTGCGGGGCAGCACAAGATCGCTAGCCCCGATGGAGCCTCTTTGGACGACAATATACCTCAACCCAAAACCGCAAGCCCCTAGTGAGTGTTTGCTTCTCACTTCCGTGGTTGGAGGAAAATCTGGCCCACGATTCCAAATATGACACGTGGAGTCGTTTGCATGAAGGGCTTGGGGTTTCTAGGGTTTTGGGGTTTCCCTTCCCTAAAACGGCCTTCCTGCATCGTCCGATGGATGGTTGTCCAAACTAGCTTCTACCACCCAAAATATGAGCTTCGACATCAGGAGTATACTGGCATAAGGTTCCAAAGGGCTAGTACTGCCCTTGTCTCCCCTCACCAAATAATATGAAGTTTTTCACGGGACATACGGGGACCTCTGGGAATAGAGGGCTACCCAGCTTCTAGGGTTCTTTTTCAGGGGTTAAGGGGCTAGAGTTTAGAGGCTAAGGTTCAGGGTTGAATCATGGAGACTCAAATGGAAATCAAAGTGGAAACTGAATTTAAAAAAGGCTGGCGGGTACATGGGTGGTTGTCAAAATTATGGTCCCTTTGTGGATCCCTACTATAATACGGCACCTAACATTTAGGGCACCCAAAAGAGGACCATATTTTTCACAACCACCCATATTGTAAATACGGATTGTGAAGGAAACATGCTCCTACTTGTTCAGATCTGGAAGCTAAACTCCCCACCCCTAAAAACCCTAAAAAACATGGAAACTACTATGGTATATTGGGGTTATATATGGAATAATGGAAAATAAAATCGAAACTACCATAGTATCCTTAAACTTAACCCTAAACCAATCCGAATTTTGCTAGCTCAAAACGTTTCGGGCCTTGAACTTACAGCCTGGGCTCAGCCCCCCCCCATGCTGGTGCCTAAGGGAGAGTAGGATGTGGACCCTGTAATAGCTTAGGGTTAAGGGTTTGTGTTCAGGGCTTAGAATTTAGGGTTCGGGCGTAATAATTCCTATATAATCCCCATGTATACCCTACAATGTACCTACATTCACTCCCCCATTCACTCCTCGTCTCCCCCTTAATCACCAGTACGGAAACCCATGACACCCTAAACCCCTAGAGTCCCCCTTCAGTACATAGAATATGGGGATCTTATTATGATATAGGGGCGATTCCATATTCTAGCTACTTAAGGGGGACTATAACCTCAAACAGTTGCCTGTGCGCCCCAGTTGGCCCAGTTGGACTCACCAGCTGTGGCATCGCGGAGAGCATCTTCCTGAGTCAGGGCTTAGGGTTTAGCGAACCCCAAACCCCAAACCCTAAATCATGAGTGCAGGGTTCAGGGGTTCAGGTACTTCGGGTGCATGCTGGTTAGGTGCTTCCCGTCACAAGAACATTTACCACGATATTTACCACAAGAGCTAATACAGTTCTAATAACGCCGTCGATAGATCCCCTTTAGGGACTGTTACTGTCAGGGGGCGTACGACCCAAGGTGTTGGGTCTAGGGCTACTGATGCATTTTGAACGCCGCTTTCATAGCATGACGTGCCGAGTCTTTAAAGATCAATACGAAGATTCTTTGAAGATCCCGAAGGCCAACCCAGAATCGAGAAATGTAAACCATGAGCCCTGTTTTACCAAGAAGGAAGATGAATTATTCCCAAATAGCCCTTTAATTTCCCTTCAATTTCTTCTATCCCCAAACCCCGTAACTCTAAGTATTCAAGGCCCCTACATTAATCGATTACCCTCAACCCTAAACCCTAAACGGAATTACTTAAGAGTCAACTCCCCTGCCCCTCTAATGTTGATTATGCGGGTGGAGGGCTCATTATGCGCGTTTAGATTTCAGGGCTTAGGGTTCAGGGAACCCCTTGCTATGAAATTAGATTAACATCCCCACCACTGTAACGTTAAATATCCCTAGCATAATGCATTATAATATGCTAGAAAAGTTTTATGGTAGGGAGGGAAGGGGGGGTTGCAACGTCAACACCAAGCCCTGAATACTATGGTTGCTTCCATTTTCCATTCCCCTATATAGCTGAGTATGGCCCCAACCCCTTTAAATGGGTTTGGGGCCCTATGTAAAGCAAATCTTCATGGCTTTATAAGAAGCATATAAAGATTAAGGGCAACAAAAGCAAAACAATCAAACCTACTTAAAGGGGGAGGTGACTAACTTCAGTTTGCGGCGCAGGCGCCTCGATAGGTGGCCGCGGGTCCCGCGCCAGAAGGTGGTCCGGGAGCTTGCTATGAAACTCCTCGAAAAGGCGCTGATATGGTGGTATATGATATAGGAATTATAATAATTATATTATAGAGGGACTATAGTCCCTTATTCCTTACCAAGAACCAGTAAGTCTAGGTTGTAGGAACAAAGGCCGGTGGAGGGTTTCAAAGGCTGCGCGATACGGTGGATACTAAAAAACCTGCATGACACTGAGTACCCTAGACCTTGTGAATTCTGGTTGTATGGTAACTAAGGTCATGCAAGATTGTTCGGATCAACTGTATGGGGGGTTTATGAAAGGGTCCAGTGAGCTACAGCCAATACTTCTCATAGAATTAATGGATATGGGTTCCTTTTTAGGGAATATAGAAGGGAATAGCAGGGAGGCTTCCTCCTGCACCAGACAGCAAAACCCAGCAAAACCAACTAAGCGACAACAAAGACCCCTACGTCCGCCCTCAATGGTGTCTTGGTAACAACCCTAAACCCTAAACCCTGAACGCTAAACCCTAAACCCTAAACCCTAAACCCTAAACCCTAAGCCCTAAACCCTAAACCCTAAGCCCTAAACCCTAAACCCTAATACTGACAGCAGCCCTTCCAGGGATCCATAAGCCTCAGGGTTTCGCGGTTTAGGGTTTAGGGTTTAGGGTTTAGGGTTTAGGGTTTAGGGTTCAAGGATTAGGGTGTAGGGTTTAGGGTTTAGGGTTTAGGGGGTTGGACAGGGGAAAGATGGATGTGTAGGGTCCAGGGTTTAGGGGTTAGGGGTACCGCTCCCCAAACCTAACATGGAAGCCCACAAACTACCCTACCTACACTCTCTACTTCCTGCCTTTTAAAGGGAGTTCCATTATCTTCCATGCTTGTTTGGGGGAGGATTTAGGTTTTGGAGGGTCCAAAATGTGGTGAGGTCCTTAAAACATTAGGGAGCGTTCTTTAGGGGTTGCTACTGCAAGGATTATAGGTGAGGGGGACTTCATAAATTACACGTTTAAGCCCCAATGAACCATATAAGAACTCTGGTTGTCCCAGTTCTTAAAATTCCTTCTCTGATCTTGAACACAATCCCCGCCCACTAATGCCACATGAGAATATACCGCAGAACATCTTCGATCCGAGGGTACGTGGCCCCGCCAACAGGCTTCAAGAAAAGGGCCATGATTCTGCGAAGTCTGCCGCAAACAAAAAGTTTTCCTGCTTGCAATGATCTAGCTGCTTGGATGGAGGCTGGCAATGCGCTCAAGCAGCACGAATGCTAGATCCCCGCTTTATGTAGGGGAGGGGCTCCAATACGCGTACCCTCGGACTCGGAGGCCCATAAGCACAGATTTCACTATGGTGGCTTTGAAAACGAACCTCTCTCTAGGCGTGGGGAGCCTCTCCCATGATGACAAAACTGAATAGCCGCTATGCACCAGCATCTCAGACGGTGATCTCGCTGGTGTCTGGTGCAACTCCAAGCTTCATGCTGGATTCAGAGTCAGGGTAGATGCAGACACCCAACAGGCTGGAAAGGTGCACGCACTTGGAGCCACTGGGGCAGCCTCCCAAGATGCACGCGAGGGCACAGTACTTGTCCCCAGTGCTGGAGTCCTGCAGGATGCACATGGGCCTTGCGGTAGTGCCCTCCGGCACGTCGGTTGGGCAAGAGCCTGTGTCGCACTTGGGGGCGCACACGCTGCCGCCGGCACCCTCCACCTCAGCTTGGGTCTCGTCGCTCTGGCATGGAGGCTTCTCGTAATGGCTCTTGCTGGGGGTAGGAGGAGACGGAGGAGATGGCGGAGAAGGCGGGGAGGGAGATGGGCCTGGCTTGCCGGACACGATGGGATAGGACGCCTGGCTCTTGACGCCGCACTCGCCGGCTCCCGGCTTGCCGCGCTCGAGCTTCACGTAGCCCTCCTCGCCCCAGGTAGCTCCCCAGCTGTTCCTCAATCACGTGCTGCTAAACCATTAAATAGTGACAAGTTTACAAGCGAAACAGCTGACATGATGCTGTTGCCGCCCAGCAGCTTCACCAGCCAGTAGTCCTTGCCGTCCTCCGTGCCGTAGCCTACGACCAGCACACCGTGGTCCAACTTGGTGCCACAGGTCTTGCTGAGAACGCCACTCTTGTACAGCTGGAACGCCATCTGGTCAGCCTGCATAGACTGCCATCTTGGGGACTACAACAAGTAGGGATCCCTCGTAATACGGACGCCGGGTCCCCCCCATGTATTGAACCATGAAAGCTGTCAGGAGAAGATGTCGGGCAAGTGTGTGGAGACACGGATCCAAATAAAATCCAAGGCCGCTTCGGCACCCTTGACCCTCCAAAGTCAGATCTAAAACTGCATACAGACATACACGATGAATTTGCTTGTATGCTGTCATTCAGCATGCACGATTGAACGGTCCGTTGAATTTGATGTTGAAATCTAAAGGAGGGAGCGAACTGGAGGTAAGTACGCCTTGGGCTGCCCTTGCCTCGATGGCCACGGACACGGGCTGCTTAGAGACGGCGTCCATCAGGGACTGCTCGTCGTCGGCCTGCACATCCTTGTAGCCTGTGACGCCGTGCGCAGGGATGCCCACCGTGCAGCCGGAGGCCTTGCAGATGCCGTTCTTGGCCACGTATGGGTAGCTCTCCTTGTGGGGAAGGGAATACCGCTGCATGTGGTGACGGTAGGGGTCCAGCAGTGTGCAAGTCAGTGCCAACTATATGTATACTTGTTAGTTCTGCAAGAAATACACCTACAAAACCTTTGGCTGCAAAAGCTCGAAGTGAGATGTACGGGGGAGGCCTGGGGAAACAGGAAGGGCGAAACAGAAACAAGCGAGTCCTCCGTGCACACCGGGGCCTGCTCCTCATACTTGAAGCCATTGTCCATGAGGCCTGGACTCTAATCCCTAAGCTGCAGCCCCTGAAACCCGATTTCACACTTAAGCTTCCGTCCCTACTCCCAGAAGCGTAATCACTGCTGCCTAAATCCTAATCTCTCCACCCAAACTCTTCAGTCAAATGCGAGTTTCGGAACATGGGGGGGCCACCTTTTTGACTCGAATCAGGAATAATCCGAACTGTACGTACCCCCAAAAAAAAACGCGCCCCCATGTTCAGAAAACCCACCAGATCTTAAGAAACAAGCAACCCTGCACCCCAAACCCTAAACCCAAGCCCTTGAAGCTGTTTGTCGTGACGCCTCCGCTGCAGCCCTCGTTGCCGAACTTCTTGGAGCAGTCCACCAGCCTGAGACTTACTGCTGCTTAACGGGGGAGCGGGAGGAGTGACTGTGGGGACTACACTACTATAACTAGGGGTATATATGGGGATTATATAGGGATTCTGGTATATGTGGGGATGATATAAGGATTGTTGTATACATGGGGATTGCAGAAGGATGATAGGGGTATATATGGGGATTATATACAAGATTTCCGGATTTTTTTAATTTTTAGGTATTGATGTTCATTTTCTTTGATTTTTTGGGGATTGATTTTTTCGTTATTCTGGAATTTGGTTTTTGTAATAAATTGGAAATTCATTGATTCGAATTTTTGACCTAGAGATCTTGAATCTTGATCCCTAAATCTGAAATTCCCTACTCTTGAATCGTAAATTCTAAGGACAAAATATATAGCGCATTATAGGGATTATTGCAAGGATCCACTCCCCCACTCTCCCTGTAGCACCAGCAAGAAGAGCGGGCACACGGCTCTGGCACAGGTTTCTGGCATCATTGAGCCGTTTCAACCGTAAATAACGCCATCCTATTTCCATATTCTTTTCCATATCGCTATCCCCTCATGTACTAGTTTCTTTTTTCCTTTCCTAAATCTCTATACAATCCCTACATAATGCCTTCGGTACTGCGCTACTTTCCTCTGAAACAGGCTGGGGTCCCGGCTGTTGCTCGGAGAGGGACACGAGCTTGCCAGTGGCAATGGCCCAGGCGCCCTCCAAAGCTCCAGTGGTGCTGAAAGCCCAGCAAGATCCGCACCTTGGTCTGAACTCCAAACGCGGACAAAAAACGCAACGCAGGCAAACCAGAACGTGCATCTGTTTTTTGACGCATCCGCACGCAGCCGTCGAAACGCATGACACACGCCACATCGTATTCTCCCCCTGCGCCTAGGAAGTTCGACTATCAAGTCTGAGCCATCCTGACATGACCATCGAGAAAGCAGTGTTGAGGAGCTTACAGCTGTGAAGCCCAAAGCATGATGTTGGAGCTGTCAATAACAATGGTCACGTCGACCACCAACTCAGTGGTATGTATCACGTTGTGACAGGAAGCTCCTCTGTAGTATTACAAGTCCGGAGGGCTTGAGTTTCGGAACATAGGACCGCACTGCGCAGGGTGTATCACGTTGTGTCAGGAAACGTTTGGTTGGTTTCGAAAATGCTCTTCAGAGACGTCAATCAACGGTGCATGGTCATGTTGGGATTGCCACGGAATTGCATGTATCACTTCTCGTGCACACTTCTGAATCTCAGCCATGAGACTACTGTAACAAAGGTGAAAAGGCAAGCGCATACGCACCCCCAAGTTTAGACCTGCGTACAAAAGCGCATGGCACCGCAGAAGTGCGCATGGCTAGCACTAAGATCCGAACTGCTCCTGATTCTTCACTGGAGTCACGGCATTCTTGTTGCGCCAGTCCACAGAGCTGGGAAGGGTGCCGTTGCCTGCCTTGTGCGTGCCCAAGCTCGCCAGGGTTCCCCACACAGAGTTGGGCAGCTGCAGCCCAAGCTTGTTCATCTTGAACTCATCCAAAGTCATGTCCGAGAACCTTACTGGTGGCCAGTAGGAAATATGGAACTATAATCCATATATGATATATTTCCTTCATCCCTTCTAACCCTAACCCCTAAACCCTATCATATATTCCTTTTTTCCCTACTAACCCCCTTTAAGGAACTGGTTCAAGCCCAGCTTGTAGGAGAGGCCCTTGGCATTCTCCCTCTGGATGTACTCATAGTTGTCCGCAAAGGCGCCAAAGCGGGCCTGCTTCTCCACATTGTCATAGTCCTGTGCTTATTTACAGGTTCTCCGTAGGGAATGAGGGAATGGATTATATAGGGATTATATCCCCTTATTCCCTACTAAGAGCTAGCAAGTTGTCATAGTCCTGCGGCATCACCAGGAAGAATTACGTATGACAACTACACCTGCAATCAATGCTTCTCTGATCTTGAGTTACCATGCCGGCTATGAGCTTTACAAGTGTTGTGCGTATTTGGCCCACGAAGCCTTTCCGAAGTCCTTCAGGAACTGATCAAAAGCTTTCTGGATATCCGCTCGCGGCTTCTGAGCCTGCAAGAACCAATGTCATTCCCCCTTGCAAGCTTGATGGTTTAGGTGCGGAGTTTCAAGGGTAGTTGGAGGGTTGGTACCTGGTAGGTTGTAAATCATATTCCTACAACCCCTAGAAGCTACAGAATACCCTTACCCAAAAAAAACAAGAACCACATGTTGCTCTAAAACCCTCAAAATCTATGAAGGTGTCCTAGAAAGGTCTGCAGTCCAAGAAGTGGGTACTTTCAACAATCAAGGTCGCTTTTTGAACCCGCCACTTCTTCGGTGCCATGCTGTAGCCTAAAGAGACCCATAATGCAAGAATCACAGAAGTGCAACCCTATGGGGTTGAAGGTACGGTGGATACTAAAAATCCTGCATGACCCTAAATACACTAAACCTTAGGAATAATGTTACTATAGTATACTAAGGTCATGCAGGATTTTTAGGATCAATAGTGGAGCCCCGGGAGGCCTCAGCCCAGACCAACAGGCAGCAAGCCACACCCAGTGCCTTTGCCATGATCTCAATCCCAAAGGCTCCGCAAGAGCTTTGTCTACGACAGCTGGTCAACCCCCAAATGGCTCCCGGTCTCGCAAACTGAAGGATTGCTGTCAAGGAACCTTAAACTAAGTTACCACACTATGGGTGCACACTAGTCAGTTCTAGGGCTTCCTTCCTTATTATAGTAACTCAATTTAAGCTCCTTGACAGCGACCCAGAATCCTTGGAACAGATGCAAGCGTAACATGCAGCATCACCGAGGGAAGTTACAGGGATCTAGCATATACCTTCATAACGTGAAGCATGTGCAAGGTCCGCTATTGCAACTCGCAGAGCCGGCATCTTGAATATCCTCGAATACTCTTCTCCTCATGGTTAAGAAGCCCATTACACGTGAATAGTCCCCCTTCCATATTTTTCAGGTTATGGGATTTATGGGAGTCCTTATGGGGGGCATTGCGGAAACTACCCATGGGAAACTACCCACCTGCAGATGGCTTTAAATAAAAATCTGCAGCACTTGAGAAGCTGGATTGCTGTAAAGGAACTTAAGCTAAGTTACTATGATAACGAAACCCTATTATTCACTTTATATACTCATATTCTGGTAACTTATAAACAGCTCCTTAACGGTAAAGAAACTTGCTTTAAGTTACGGGTATATAGTAAACACTAGGGTTTCCTTGCTATAGTAGCTTAATTCAAGTTGCTTAACAGCAACCCAGGAGAAGGCAGTTCTCTGGCTCCTGACCGTTTGTCATCCGCACCACGTTGAAATGGCCGTGGACGTCCTCTTCGAATGCTATGCTTGCTGACATCGGGCTTCAGAATGAGAAAATCATTGTTTTTAAATAATATAAGGCTTATAGGTGTAATATATAATACAGGGTTTATAGGGGTAATATAGGGCTTATAGGGGTAATATACGGTTTATAGGGGTTATATAGGGATAATGGAAACTACTATTTAGGGTTTAGGGTCCAGTTTGGGGTTCGGGTTTTGGTGAAGTTCGGAAGTTTAGGGATCTAGGATTAAGGGTCTGGGCATCAGGGACCGTCGCGATGCGAGGACACAAAGAGGATGTCTAACTGAGCAATGTGCCTGGGGCTGCTGTATAACAGCAATTAGGAGAGAAGACCCTAAACCCTAAACCCTAAACCATGGAAGCACTACCTTGATAGCACGCCAAGTACATAGTCGTAGCCCAAACTCAAACCCCGGGTCCAAGAAAGTAGATAGAATATGGGGGTATGTTATTGGGGTTTTTATAGGGATAATGGAAAAGAAAATGGAAACCACTATTTAGGGTTTAGGGTTTAGGGTACTAGTTACTAAGATAAAGTCATACTTATCATGTTGATAACCCGAGTTTAGGGTTTAGGGTGTAGGGTTCAGGGTTTAGGGTTTAGGATACTTATCATGTTGTTAACCCGAGGGCTTAGGGCCAACTACCCGCGCACAAGGACCCCATCAAACAGGCAGGAAAGTGTTCAGCAAGAGTAGGGTCAGAACACTCCCCTAGTTCACACCTGTGATTACTTAACCCCCTTCTTTTTAAGGGCCATGATTTTAGGGCCCCCAATAATAGTCCCGATTAAGGAACAAGGTTTTACCCGCCATCGCTGCTTGTCTTCACCGCGAGCGGCGGAGGCTTCTATGAGTTTACGGCTCCAACCTGGCAAGCAACTGCCAAGCCTGCAAAAATGAAGCTTGTCACACACTGATTGAAGTTTTGGATTTCGACGTAGGGTTTTGGGTCCAGGTGTAGGCTTTAAGGTTTAGGGTTTAGGGTTTAGGGCTTCACCCCAAATGAGGCCGGAAGTTGCTTGCCACAGTAGCTATGCAATCGTTAATGGGACCCAAATACATCATCCTCTTATCATGTCCATAATATCTCTTCGGTCCCTATGTGCCCACTTTTTTTTGAGATGTTGATGTTTGCTCCTCTATCTCTTATCTAGATGTATCCTCAGAACCCCAAAGTGCCCCCCAGGCCTTGAGGGCACACCCCCAACCCCTAAAGCCGGAACCACACCCATTGTTTGAGCAACCCCCGACTCTCTTCCCTGATTCCAGAACCGACTGCCTGCTGCGCCTCGAACAGTTTGTCCTTGCTTCTTTCTCTTAGGGTGTTGGGCCTAAACCCCAAGGCCTTAACCCTAAACAAGGCCTAAGAATTAGTGCTCAATCACTGTTCGAGGTTTTGAGCTTGGGGTTTAGGGCTTGGGGTTGAGGATTTTGGATTCAAGGTTTAGGCGTTCCTGTTTCCCTCGGGAAGGGGGGAATCGGCATAAAGGGCTTAGCATTTAGGGCCTGGGGTTCTGGGGTTTACGGGTTTATGGTTTAAGGGCCTGGGATTTTGGGGTTTTAGGGCTTAGGGTTTCGGTCACTAGGTATGGGAAATTGCACAAGGATTTTTCGAGTAGGGATTCTTGTGACGTCGTGGAACATGACACAGCTATTTCGAGCATGAGTTCAGTAAGGCCCTCACTTCGCGGTTTTGCGGCTTCCTGGGCCTCGAAAAGCATATTCTTTTGAAGCCCTGCTGGGCAACATGAACCCTAAACCCTCAACCCTGTACCCTAAACCGCAGCGGTAACAATTAGATTCGTCTGAATCATGCTTGTGGTGGTCCTCAAGTCAACCATGTGCTATTTGTTTTAGAGTTTGGGGTTTAGAGGTTTAGGGTTTCGGGGTTAGGTTGAGGTAAAACAGGGTCTAACAATTACCAATTTCATTGGAGGTCTTTTGAGGTGCCCTGAACCATGCTGTATCTTGAATATAGGACCATTATATTGGTAATCATTTGAGCTATAGTCTAAA